TCAGCGTGTCGGCGAAGGCGCTCTCTGTGCGGACAAAGGGAGGGACATGGTGGGGAGAGGCGGCGCGTGAGGCTGGTCGCGAGCCGCTCCTCTACCGCTGCTCCCTGCAGGCCTCCGCGACTGAGCCGGGCCTCGAGCAGCCCCCACCCCACCCTGGCTTCCAACTCTCCTTTTGCCCATCTGTGTTATTTAGGGAGTCACAGGTGCACAGAATTGCATTAAGCACAATCCTCGGTTTCCTTCACATGCTCTTACCTTTGGGACGGGCAGATAAGGCCCTTTTTAACCTGGCTCCTTCTCTTCTTCCATCCCTCCTTTTCTATCCACCCTTTCCCCTTCTCTTCCTCTTTCCGAGGCTTCCATACTTTGATTATTAAAAGGGCATCTAAAAATCGTTTATTGTCCATCTCCCCAGCTAGGACGTAAGCTCCAATAAAAAGCAAACCTGTGCTCGTGGCCTTATGCAACAGGCACCTCTAAGCTTTCGCACGCTACCTCATTTAATTTACACAACCACCCTGTGAGGCATGTGCAGTTCCCTGCCATTGAGCTCACAGGGAAACTGAGGCACAGAGGGGTTGGGGAACATGACCAAGGGCACACGGCTACCAAGTGGCAAAGCCACGACTTGAACCCAGGCTGGCTGGCTCTAGAGTCTGGCCTCTTCAACACATGCTGCCTCTGAAAGAAGCGAGGACCTGGGTCTGTCCTCACTGCTGTGTTCACAGCACAGAGCACAGTGCCTGGCCCTGGACAGGTATTTAAGCATTGACAGAAAAAAAGTCTACAGGAGATTGACTCAGTTGGTAAAACAAAATGAAGGGAAAGTTTTTTTTATTTTTGAAACAAGAGTTTCGCTCTTGTCACCCAGGCTGGAGTGCAGTGGCATGATCTCAACTCACTGCAGCCTCTGCCTCCTGGGTTCAAGCGATTCTCCTGCCTCAGCCTCCCGAGTAGATGGGATTACAGGTGCCTGCCACCACGCACTGCTAATTTCTGTATTTTTAGTAGAGACGGAGTGTCACCCTGTTGGCCAGGCTGGTCTTGAACTCCTGACCGCAAGTGATCTGCCCACCTTGGCCTCCCAAAGTGCTGGGATTATAGGCGTGAGCCACCACGCCCGGCCAAAGGGAAAGTTCTTTAAAAGTTAGAGTTATGAAAACATTTTTAAGTAATTTTTAGTGATTTGAAAAAATGTTCTTCATATGACATAGGTAAAAAAGCAAAAATAGTGCTTAATCATTTGGGTAATACAGGTGTTCGTACTTTAGTAGATTACCTGTTTATTTTCTGCCTCCCTAGCTGGAATATGAATCTCTCAAGGCCAGGGTGTGTGTCAGTCTGGTCACCACCATGTTCTCAGGGCTTGGCAAATAGCCTTCACTATTAATAGTTTATTGGATGAATGAATGAATAAGGTCTAGAAGAGACTGCTATACTAAATAACAACATCAGGAAAGAGTCATTAAAATATTTTGAAGGATTTTTTTAGTGATAACATTTTTGTTTAATAGGAAAATAAGTGTTTCTTAGACTTTTTAAACAGACCACTTTGAGCCAAGATTTTGTTAAATGTTATCATTCTATAGTATCTTGAAAAATATTTCCTCTTTACTTTTCCAAATATGAAATGAAATCATAAGAATGCACATGCTTTTTCAAACTATGACCCAGGCCCCGGTGGGTCCAAATGCACCCCCTCAGACACCTTTCACTTAAACTGGGTTTACAGCACTTGGAAAACCAGTAAATCTGGCAGTAGGAGCTGAATTCTGGCCTGGCCACAATGGGCTAAAGCTTGCCCTTGTGTTGAGGTGGTTTGATCTCTCTTGATGCCCCTGAGGTGGCCCTCTTCAAGGTCTCACCAAAAGGTGTCAGCTACTTGTTTGGGCTCTGTGGGCATCTGAGTGTGTATGCTTTGCCTTAGCGAGGGTGCTTCCCATAGCTCGAGGGAAGAAGTGGGGTTTCAATTTGTTTCTTTAAAAACGTATATATGTGTGCGTTTGTCTACATCTGTCTGTCTGTGTCATTTTATTTATGTGCATAGGAAATCAAGTGCTGGAGACAGACATAATAAAATATTAATAGTAATTATCTCGGGGTGAGATTATGAAAGGCTTTTCTTTAGATATTTCTGTATTATCTAGTTTTCCTACAATAAACTTGTACGCTACTGATGTGGTTTGGATTTGTGTCCCCGCCCAAATCTCATGTCAAATTATAATCCCTAGTGTTGGAGGT